TTTCGACCGACAAGATATTTTGCCTACCCTCTGATTGTAAATACCTACCACAATTCTTCCATTAATTTAATAATCTGACAAGAAGAAGCATGCGAAAAAAGTATGACCCAGCTAATACCCCCCCCCCCCCCCCGGCAGTTAAAATCAATAATTCGTGCCTAAAAGAAACCTGTATCGGTCATTTGAACAAACAGAATGGATGGAATTAATTGGATGGGGACATATAAACATGCAGAGGTTCTATGTCACAGTTGTTTCTTGCAGAAATAAGAGCCGTAATTGCTCAATGGACATAAGCAATCTTCTCCGGCAATTGGCGATGTCATGCACTGACTACATGTATTCCAGAATAGAAGGTTTATCTGTTAAGTTCCTTGTATCTTTGCCGAATTTCTTTGATTATGTGACATGTAATCTGTTGTAAACTGCATTTCTCTGTATAAAATAAACTCTTTGTTATGCTCCTGAGGTTAAAACTTTTTAAAATCGGTCAAAAGGCTCTTCAAGGCTTAAATGTTACATTGTTAAACTGTATACTATATAATGCCGGTTTAAGATAAAAAAAATATTTACAAAAATTACAATATGATATTGCATTACTAGTATTTTCACGATCAAAACACTAAGTTCTTGTAGGTGATGGTAAATTATTCTCGTGTTTAAGATAAATATTTTTTTCCACCATTGGAACTTTGATTGCTTGTATAGTTCAGACTAGGATTGAAAATGTTGATAAAATTGCTTAATTTCAAATCAGAATGCATTGTTTACATTTTCTAAAGATCAAGACAAATGATTGATTGATTGATTATTATTGTTTAACGCCGAGTCGGCAATATTTCAGCCATATTTCGGCGATCAAATTAAGTGTATTTGCCCATTTATGAAGTTTTAGGTTTCTCTGGCGGCCCCAGTGAGCCTACTCTTTTTCGAAAACCAGAGAAACGATCTTTTATGTGCCATGGGGGTTGTTATCCTTGACACGGGGCACCATTAAACGTCCCATCCGATGGACTCAAAAATTTAAAAGTATGTAAACAGTTAAAATATATATACAAAATTCTTAAGTTATATCATTTTAAATTTTGCAGTAAAAATTAGTTTCATGTAAAAATTCTAAAATTGTATAAACATTTATATTTGTAAAAAGTTCATGCATAGTTTGCACATTTTTAAAAAGTCTACTTCGAGTAGGAGAGAAATCGGTACATTCCAAAAGAATATGACTGATAGTTAACGGTCATTCGCATGATATACATTCTGGTTGCAATTCTCGAGTGAGTAAATATTCATTTGTTATTTTTGAATGACCAATATGTATTCTAGAAATAATCACTTCGTCTTGACGTTTCAAGCCGAAATCAGATGATTTGTTGACTTTGATTTCTATAGCATAAAGCTTACTTGTATCACAAAATTCCCAATAAATCAAGACAAATGAAATACCCATTTAAAATTCCTTTTCTTTCAGATAATTTTCCAGTAAAAGAATGGTAAAATGATTGATTGTTTTCATAAACAAGAAGCCAAAATGGCGCGAAACTCCGAATGATGACGGAACGTCATAATCAGCTTTACCTGTGACGTAATGAGTTAACAGTAGGCCCAAAATAGGCCCATGGCACTTAACGTAGTTTTTGAAAATAGACCCATAATAGGCCCGCGGCACAAAGAATGTAAAGACCCCTTTTCCCAGAGAACGGTCCATATATATATATATATATATATATATATATATATATATATATATATATATATATATATATATATATATACATATACATACATGTATATATCACATGGCTTCGAGGATGACATACCAGAATGTTTGCCCCAAGGTGACAGGAAAGTCCTAGAGTGTTATGTCACCCGATGCCGAAGGCAGAGGGTGACATAACACTCCTGGACTTTACTGTCACCGAGGGGCAAACATTCTGGTATAGTCACCCGAGAAGCCATGTGGTATATGTTATATTACATTTCTAAAATTAAAAAATCGTCTAAAATTGTTCAAGTTTAGACAAAAAATCCAAAATGCTTTCATGACGTTAGAATTACGCTCCGTTGTTTACATTTGCTTAGCAACCGACGTCATTACATCTCGAACCCGACCTACAAATGCGTAACATAAAAACACATGAAAGTGATCGAGAGAGTGTTATAACTGTTTCCGTCGGGTGACATAATTTTTGATTGTATCGAAAGCTTGTATTCTATAGTACTTGGAAAGTGCTGCTAGAATCGTTTGATTAACATGAAATGATGACAATTCCTTGATCGTTTGTACAAAATGTAATAATTTTGGTAAGGTTTCATGCGAAACTTTGGAATAATTTTTTCTATGTCGAGAGAGTAGGATTCTAGCAGCACTTTTCATGACCCAGTGATGTTTTTACATAATTATTTTCACAAAAAGAATTTAATTATCCCCGGGGTAGTGTTGAACTTTTCACTTTTTCATTAAGGCAATTTTTCTATTTATAGACGTCACGTGATGACGTCGTAGTGGAGTGCTTCTTTCAGCCTAAAACTCAATGACGTCTAAACAATGGATAATTATAGTAAATGTTTTATCTATGGCTTTTCCGATTTATCAATGTTACATTTTACGAAAAAAGTCCAAATCCGCCGAAATATGATCTTGGTACTGCCTTAACATACCTGCGTTCCGGTGTGATTCAGCATTTTTCAAGGTTTATAGTGAAACTTATTACATTTGTGATATAATAGGAAAACTTTTTCAAAAATGTTTATATATATATATATATATATATATATATATATATATATATATATATATATATATATATATATATATATATATATATATATATATATATATATATATATATATATACATAGAGAGAGAGAGAGAGAGAGAGAGAGAGAGAGAGATTGAATGTTATTTTTTTTTGTTCAGTAGTACTGATTATCTGAAAAATATTCTTGCGTTATTCTTATACATGAATCTATGTAACTGGGGTTGGGACATTTTAATGCTCCTGTGCTGAAAGCTCAAATGAACTTTCCTGATCGCATTTTATCTGTCGTCTGTCTGACCGTCCGTCAGCTTTTTCTCATGAACAACTGGAAAAAAATTTCAATTAAACTTTCCACAAAGTATCCGTCGATAAGGGGGATTCAAGTTTCTTCAAATGAAGAGCCATATCCTTTTTGAAGGGAAGATAATTAAGAATTATTGAAAAATATAGTGGCATTTCTTAATATCTTCTCAAGAAGTATTGTGCAAGAAAAGTTGAAACTTATGTGATAGCTTCATTATAAAGTGTTGATTTAATTGTATTCAGACCATGACCACCGGGGAAGGGTTGGACTACAACTTTCAAAATCTTTTCAAGAACTACTGGGCCAGAAGAGTTGATACTTAAGTTAAAGTTTCATTACAGTTTGTACATTTAATTTTGTTCAAATCATGACCTCCAGGGGTAGGATGGGGCCAGAGTGGGCATTCAAAGTTTTAAGAAGGCATTTATACAAAAAAATATTTGAAAAATATTTAAAAAGCTTCTCAAGAACAACAAGCCCATAACTAGTGATTACTATATTAAAAAACCTCAGGTAGAGTAGGTTTAAATTATTCAAATCATGACTCCATGTCCAGGGTGAGACCACAATACATAGGAGAATTCTTCAAAATCTTCTTCTCAAGAACAGCAAAGCAATAATTAATCATACTGATATGGAAACATTGTCATGTATTGTCATTGTCATATGACATGTGCCGTTGTTGCCGGCAACAATATGAACAGAACAATATGTACCGTCGCGCTGCATAAATAAACATATGGAACACGTCAGTGTGATTTACACACCAGTTACATTCACAAAAATGTCGCCCGCGTGGCGCAGTGGTAAGGGCGTCCTCTCTAGAGTCTCGGAGTAAGGATTTGATCCTAACGTCGCGGGTTCCAACTCCACTGTGGGACATGGAGACCGATCCTACGGACGGGATCGTATAAACCGTGCTCCCGCGTGTCGCAGTAGGTGCTAACACAAAGATCCCTCACCGCTCAATAATGACCCTGAGCACCGAGTATAGGTCAAAATTTGCTGCTGTCCACCAGCAAGTGGTGTGACTTAATATCAGTGAACATTTCTCGAGATTGACGTTAAACATCAAACAAACAAAACTATATATATATATATATATATATATATATATATATATATATATATATATATATATATATATATATATATATATATATATAGTAAATATATTTAAATATTCCATATTCAGCCAGCAACAATATGTACCGATGGACGACAATATGTGCAATGAGGGTAGGTACATATTGTCGCCGATGACATTATGTTCAAAACAAAAAAAAAATGTACCGTCACATGCCAATTAAAACTAAGATGTCTATAAGTCATTTGCATATTGTTTGTTGTTATGAGAGTCAAGACACAATTTCCTCCTCTAATTTTGATAGAAGTTCTTATTCTTATATAGATGTAGAAAGTCGTGAAATTTGCTAGTTTAAAATTTTGATCTTTTGAAGAAAATGAATTAAAGGTCATAAAAAAAAATCCAAATTAATTGAAAATATGGTCCTTTATACTTCCTTTACATTTTTATAACTTTAATTAGATAATTGATATAAGTTGTTTTCAAAAATCACATACAATTACAAAGAGAACCGTTCCAATGATCTTCACATCCTTCCTGACAAATCCCTGTTACACTGTGACAATACGTTCCAGTTTTACAATGACCACATGTTTCGCTGCAGTTGAAACCAAAAAAAACATTGTCACACACTTACGGAAAAAAAATAAAAATCAATCAAACAAATTTAAAGGAAAAACAAATAATGCCATAAATTATAGAAAAACAAACCTCAGCAGATTTTAAATAAAGTTTTTTCAATTTAAAATAGAGTTGTTATTTTGATTTTTTAAAGTTAACTTTGCTCCTTTTCCCTAAAGAGCCATGTAAAATGTTTCATGTCATACAAAATCAGGCTAGGTCTTACCGTCACAATTTAATCCAGTCCAGCGGTTTTGACATCCCTCGGGACAGATTCCTGTGATGTTGTTACAGATGGTTTCAGTTTTACACTTACCACACAAGTATTCACAGTTATATCCATAATAGCCAGCTTTACAAACTACAACATAAAGTCCTGAAGCATATATATATTGCCAGCAAATGTAATACGTGTTTGAAGATTAGAACAATATCAATAAATCATAAACATTATCCCATTTTTGCTCTACACGAGCTTGTTTTCTAAAAACAAGACTCTATGTCATTCTTTTTCGCAGCAATATGATTAAATTTCGTATTGACTAGAAATAGAGTCTGTGTTGGGCATCATGGGTTGAGATTTCATAATATATTTGAGATAGATTGATTGATTGTATGTTGTTTTATATTTGAGATAGATCTTAAGAGAAAGTTGTATTCTATCAGTTGATAAAATACAAAGCTTTTTCTTTATTTTGTCTAATTTTATACATTTTGAGATACACAAGAGGAATATGGGTTTCATGATTTTTTTCCTGGATTTCCATACTCTCCAAACTTTGGCCGGTATAGGTTGTACTTAATAAGCAAGTACAGAATCTTGGCATTATACGAAAAATGACGGAGAAAAGGAGAAAAAGGATACAACCGAAAAGCAAAAATTAAAAAAAAAAAAAAAGAAGGAAAAAAATAGTCTTTCGCGCATACTTTTCTTCAAGCCTGACCTCCTACGCACTACCTTTATGCACTATTGAATCAATCCCGTTTTTGCGTTTCTAGCACATTAAATATGCTTCTTTTTACGTGGATTATTTACTGAGACAACGATTTATAATATTTTCTTTTTCTCCTTGTTTTCTCCTTTTTTTTTAAAGTCCAGAAACACCTTCCTTCGGATGAACATTCTTGACAATCTCCGGCCGTCGAGGATATAAGTCTATGTCTGAATCTTCTACAATGAATAAACATTTGGGACAGTATGTACCAACATGTCTTTTTTTTTGATTTTTTTTTAACAATTTTGGACCATCGAAATTGTTAAACTCTTCTTAATTGCAATGAAATGTGCATTAATATTAATAGCTAAATAAATTGTATTTAATCCTCATATACTTTGCAATTGATGCCTGAAATATGGAGATAATGAACTGTATTCAAGCTCAAAGTCCATAAAAACAATACAATTGGGGAGCAGAGCAAACACAGACCTTCAAAAACATCAGAGGCTGGATCAGGTGCCATGGAGGAGTGAGCATCCCCCTGCCGACGGGTTAAATCCGCCTTGTGCTCCTTGTCACGATCGGAAAATAACGGAGAATCCGTCGAAAATTCATTGTGTAAATAATGGCCAAACAATTAGTATGAAAAACGCCAGTCAGCATATGACTCAATGATAGATTGTATTTGCTGACAAGGTCATTGTATCGACCATAAAACTTACGAAATGATGACTTTAAATGAGACTGTTGATATTCTTGTTTAAACAACTTGTTTGTCAATAACTTAGGCTGTCCAAAATTAATTCTACGTTTAACGTCACCCGCGTACGTAGGTTTAAGAATTCGTCTTTTGTTAAACAATTTGGAATTTTATCTTATTGTTCCCGTTTGGTTTTACATTTAGCGACATTGTTTTGCATCTTATAGTGAGAGAAAATGTGCTGTGTAATCGCAGTTGTTGTGTTATAAGTAGAAACTGGTGATGTTTACAGAAAATAAAACATGGATGGTTTTAAAATTGAGATTAATGAAAATGTTTGTTGAGTGTTTTATGTCGGTAGTAAGATTACAGACTATCAGTTCGTCATTATTTTTCTGAACCATTCCCTGTATTGTAGAGAATATTGCAAAGTCTCTTATTCAGTGTAGAGTGTTTAAAACCGAGATTTTACAATACACAGTAAGATATATGTCTTTAATTATTTAATACAATGTAGTTTTATCTTAAAATATTGCTATGGAAATTAAACGAGAAGTAAGTTGATGTGATTACACATGTAGTATTCAATTACTTACATTGAAAGGAATGAAAATATTAGACACTGACATTTTAGCAGGAAGAAGCTTTAATACAGAAGATGAGAGCTTTCAAGTGAAAGAGGAAGAATGAGAGTAGAAGAGATATTCCAACGACCCTGTCTTGTGTGTTTGAATGTCATGTAAAATATTATCTAACAGACATCGTACATCAAATATTGTACTTTCCCTTTCAAAACCAAATGCTAGACTAATACAATATATCTAATAAAAGAGAAAGATAACATATATTCAATTTTAAGATATTTCAATAAAAGAATGTAATAAATATTGTCATCATGACTTTAATTGTAGATACCGGTCAATTATTTCCACAAGAAGAAGCATTTTCCTACCGTGTACCATGTATGTGGTGATATGAATCTAATGGACATACTTCTAGACCTAGTTGCAAGCCACTCCTCTACGCATCCAGTCTACTTCATGTGCTCAAAAAAGTGCAAACCAGTATGTGTACTTGGGAAAAACATTTCACTTGTGAAATGCAAAACTGACTTATCCTTAGATATCAAAAATACTCTTATTACATAAGTGTTTTTTTTTATGTACTGAATAGGTTAATTTGAATATCCCAGCTAGGTTAAGGATGCCCATGAAATATGCGCCTTAAAATATTCAATGATAAGAGAATGAATATAATTTCAATATTTTTTTAACAGCATTAGTTTTGATGAATGTGAATTATGGTTTTTGCACATTATATATATATATATATATATATATATATATATATATATATATATATATATATATATATATATATATATATATATATATATATATATATATATATCGGGTCTCTGTTGAGTTCGGCTCTGTTGAGTTCGGCCAGAGCGACATCGCTTACATCAGCTGTTTGTCACGTGACAGGTTTAAAATTAGAACATATATATACTAATGCAAAGATCGTAAAAGTTCAACGATATATGGTTATCTTTCCGCTATACAATTCATTCTGTTTTGTTTGAGACAAATATCTTACCATGAAAAGTGTTAGGAGCAACTTCCTCATGCTCGGAATTGTGTAAAATTTTACTTTCTATTAACTCAAGACAAAGATGTAATACGCATTGAAATAATGTAACATTACAGAATAGATATACGGAGAAGCTGATACCGTTGAACTTTTGACATTTTCGAGTGTCTGAGCCTGTCATTCTAGCACGTTACTGTACAAATGTGCTCTCTACGGCTATGTATATGTCTTCACATGATCAATTTAGTTTGACAATAAAATGTGGATTAATATATTTTAGAATATTTCTCTATTTTGGTCCGATTACGCTTGTTCCGTATTTAGTTTTAATTTTGCATACACCGATAATAGCTTGATCCACGCCTCGAGTACAGAGAAACTGCGTGTCAAACTAAGAAATGACGTCAATTCAGTTAATACAGCTAGATCAAGCGGCTTTCATTCTACATTCGCTAAGTGCTGTTATAGCAAGATAAGTTGCACTCTTTATACCTTTACAATTTTTATAAAACCGAAAGTATTTGAGTGTGTTTTTTTAAAAAAAGAACACATAGTATTTATTCAACGAGACTCACTTGTTTTGTTTTAACGTGACGTCATAAAAGCTTTCCCGAACCTCTGCATAGGCTGGCGTAAACATGGGAGTCCTTAATCTAGCTGCGATATAAACATTTGCTTCAAATTTTTGTTTGTTTATTTTTCCTTCCTCCCTCGTAGGTTTTGAATTTTGTAGGTGACGTTAAACGGAGAATTAACTTTGGAAAGCCTTACCTCGTTTTAGAAATTGTTCATACGCAGAGCATGCTCTTGCGTATCGATTCAACTGAGAGATTTGCACCCCATATGCAGGTGATAAGGGTATATTGCTGCTTAAGTAAGAGAAGATGACGATTGAAAAGTTAAAGACATCACGTTTATCATAAAGCTTTGTTGTTAGATTACCATTAACGTATTTTTCTAGTAAAATATCCAGATATGAAACAGATGTATTAGACTCTGTGGCATCTTTTCTTTCAAGCTCACTGGGATATCGTGTCGACATATGAATGGAAATAACTATTGTTAATTGATGATACGTCGTCGATATATCTGAACGTCGAGTTGAAGGCCACAGCAAGAGATTTCTTTTTCTCATGTATAAGATTTTGAATAAATTTTTCTTCATATGAATACAAAAATAGGACTTTTATCAACGGGGCGCAATTGGAACCCATGGGAAATACAACAGATTGTTGGAAGACCTGGTCTCCAAAAACCACATAGATACTGTCAATCAGATATTCAAGCATCTTTTTAATATCAACTTCAGAGTACTTGTGTGTACAATCAGAATGTTTTTTTTTAACAAAATAATTCTGTAAATGACCAATGACAAGGTAAGTATATTTGCGAGTTCCATTTTTATTGAAAAAGAGGCTGTCTGTAATGTCAAAAAGCCTGGACTTTAATTCATCATAGGGAATGGTTGTATACAGAGTTGAAAAGTCGTAAGTTTTTATGTTATTGATTTTGGTGAAATTTTGTGATTTCAAATTTTCCAAAAGTTCCTTGAAATTATTAAGTATCCACATCTGTTTTACACCACTTTTTGAATATATCGTTGTACAGTACTCCTAAAGTTTCTCCTTCACTGCTGTAAAAAATTAGTGAGGAGTAAAGGAAGAGGCTTGTTAGAACATTTACTGGAACCCGCTGTGTATCTTGTTTTTTAATTACTTAAGCTAAGATATGTGTTGGAATGCAAAAAGGAACCAGTGACACAGTTGATTGTAAGCAATACAAAATTTTTGTAGTATATACATAGCGATCTACTTACCTGAACAATCATGGCGTTCCATAAAGCGTTCACTACAGCCATATTTACAGAACCCATCGAAAGCATCACACTCATTATTTTTACAATTTGCTGAGCATAATGAACAGTTTTCTCCAAAGTGTTGAGATTTACATCCTACATACAATGAATTTATCATAAATTCTTATGAATTAGAAATTCAAAGTACAATCAATTTATGAAACAATTTCAGTTTTCGGCATCACAATTAAGTAAATTATTGAACATACAGTAAGCCATTTTTTTAAAGATAGAGCCAAACTCTAGTAATTTAGATTTGTTGTTAGTGTAATTCGTTATATCACAAAAGTTTTTTTTTTTAATAGCAAGCCCAGATCATCATTCAGAGATCTTAGAGCAACGCTTGTCGAAGAGAAATACAGTCTGTCTGAATATTGATAAAACTGCTTTTCCTTTCCCTTCAGTCAACTATAATCCATAATCGAACTTGTATTACACAGGGCGCCGAACAATTTTTCGCTTTAACCCTTCAAAAATTTACAATTAAAAATGAAAAAAAAAAAACTTAATTTATGAATATTTCAGACAGATTGCAGATTAAACGATCTTTTTATGTAAAAAGAAAAATCCCCATTCAAGACTGTTAAGGAAATAATGCAGCTAACACCCGATATAGTGTAAGGTCACAGACTAGACCTTCGAAAAATATTGTATCGTGCGAGTTTAAATGAATAGCAAGGCCAGCTCATAATATTTACAACTGCGTACGTAAAAACAGAACCCCAGAGAATTTAAAACGAATTGTTATCGTGAAATTCTTAAAGTATTGCTGTAAGGGTATTATCTGCATGTTGCTTGACATTTTAAAAAAAAAAAAAAAAACGTATAATGTAATTTGTCAAATTCTATTAGAATTAATTCAAAAAATGGACAAAGAAAATTATTTCATTGTAAGCGTGAACTCCTTTTATAGGTTCTTGTACCGAAATATTATTGTATTATCATTAATCTTTTATTGGAATTTTACATTTTGAAAAATACGCTGCTATAAAACAAAATCATCAATAACACCATGAACGTTTATGGCCTGTCCAAAAACAGTACCTACCAAAAACCATAACTTCACATATCTCAATGGTAGCAAATGACGACTCATATCCCACACAACTTGTGTTTAGTGGAGGGTCCTTTGAATTAAATATAGCTATTCCTTTAATAACACTATTGATGGTTACATTCATCACTTGTTGTGGACAGGAAGATGGATCGTCAAAGAAGACCATATCTCCCTTAGACGATGGTGGAGTGTACGTTGACTCATTGAACACAAATACGGAAAAACCAACATGGCGATTTACAGCTGTATTTGAAAAAAAAAAAGTTGTAAATTGTAGATAAATCAGACCCTTAACGGGAAGAGATGATCGACGTACTATCACTGTTTTTAACAAAGCAAGCTACTAACCCAGAAGTTGATAAAACAAGAATATCTACAGTCTCGTTTGAAATCGTTTTGCATGTTTTATGGGAGATACAATGAACTTGTCAGCAAAGAGAATATATCATTTAGGTCTAATGATGACGGACGTTTCTCATCTAGTTGTTAGACCATTATTTACACACTGAAATTTCTGCGGATTTTCTGTTTACCCGATCATGACAAGGAGCACATGGCTCGATCTACTGCATAACAAAATACTTGCATATTCTGACCGACCCGAAAAGATGCCATTAATTTCTGTTAATTTCGTAGTAGTATTCATTATTTCCCGATTGGAAGTGGACGTTGGATAAGTGAACCAAGAGAAACTACATTATGTTAGAAATGTCATTTAAGTGAAATAGGTGATGAATTCCCTTACATGTTAAACTGCATATCCGTGATACACGAAAGAAATAAATGCAGTTACGCTTTAAAAATACAGTTACATTAAGAGAAATAATGAAATCAGAAAAAAAAATCCTTTTAAAGAAAAGTGCACTTATTTGCTAGAAACATTACAAAACGTCCTCCCCGAACTAGGAAATACCTTTATCTATAATTGTACTATACTGAAAGGAAATAGAAACGCAGGGTAAACTTTTTAGGTGAAATAAGGTTATATATTTCAGACGTATTTTCCAGTTATCCTATCTAACATTTAAAATCATCTTTAATAAAAATGTAACCAAAATCTCATTTGATTTTCCCCAGTAATTCATGAGTTATTGAAACTCATCTGATGGTACCCCAAAGGTGAAAAATGAAATTCTCATTATCTCACATGTCTCCCTCGCGCATCTGTCACAGCCTTGATTCTCCTATGCATGGAGCTCATCAGTGTGTTTATCCATTTAATAGGGATATTATTCAACCCTTCCGAGAAGGCAGCCCTTAGTTGATTGAGACCAGCTTGGACATTGTAAACCCTATCCTCCACGTAGTCCCACAGACGGTTGATGCGAAAAAGATGGAGTTGACGGAGACCAGTCAAGTGGATAAATGGGACTGTTTGCGAGAAAATCTTGACAAACCCTGGCAGCCTCGGAAGGGGGGATAACATGGCGAAAAAAAATAGGCAAACGACGCACGCATGCGCGAGTTAAAGGAACACTTACGTAAAGTTGACAAGCTCACAAACCAAAATCGCGCTATCGAGTTCCTTCAGTTTTGGGTGATTGTAACGATTATCAAAGCCTGCTGTATTAATAGCAGTTTTAGGGTATTGTGATGGTAATTATACAGGTGACAGGATGAATAGTCCGATCTTGACGTGGTGCAGTTACGCGTTAACGTCGTCTTCACGGGTGGTTGGAAACCTTTCTACGCCTCTCTGAGGACGAGTAAGACGTTCTATGTGGAAAATTCACAACAAACTGCACAGAAACTTGTCGTTGACTTTGTCCTTACTTAGGCAATGCAATAGCCAGACCCCATGGTACTTCCGTCAACTGTACCTTGATTTCAAGAAATGCAAATCGACTGTAAATATCGAATTACGATTTGTATAACTTAAGTGCAGCAAATGGTACTACGAGATGTGTTGAAAAACATGTCATCGATATGCACGTGTTTTCGGCATTTTACCACTTTCCTTATGTGACGTCATACATTTCACGGTTGAGTAGTTCTGAACACTGATTTAAATGCACAGTAACCAAGATATACCTCTGACCAATTTTCATAATTTTCGGTTATACAGTCAAAAAAATTTCGAATATTATGTTACCCTGCGTTTCTTTTTCCTATTAGTATATTTGTCTAAACTCATACTCTCGCATGCTATAATTTGTTTTATTTGTCATCATTGTTTAGATTTTTATCTTTGTATACAAGTGTAAAATTGTGAAGAGATTAATGAATACAGAACAGTTCAGTTCATTATTTAGCTAACACAAAAAAGAAATATGCACAAAATTTACATTCTGACACCTGTGTAGAAATATATCGATAGGGAATATGCACGATTCTCGGGTGCGATTTCAAAAGCCAATATTACACAAGGCGGGTATAATTTTCTTCTCAAGTTATAAGAAATAAATATTTATCCGTCATGATATTGCCACAGGCACTTGACGTTATACATTTTTCTTATAAAAATATAACCCCACACCTTATCATACTTTCAAGGTACTCATCGCTACCCTCTTGATATTTTTCTAGGTCAGTCACATCAACTTGTTTTTTTATCTTTAATTCTGTGATATAATTCCCTGCAACCATATTCATTCTGTGGTTAGTCTTTCGAGGTCTAAACTTGCGCAAAGTGCAACGAAAATGGACCATCACATACGAAGATACAGTAATCAAAAATCCCAAAGTCGATCTACTGCTTCAACAATCCGAGAAATCGCTAAAGGGGAATACTGTTCGTTTTCTCCATATTTCATTGTTAAGATCTGGAATTTAAGTTTTGCAATATTAGTAAAACATTTTATCTTCATTGTCGGTTTCATTTTTAGGACATGTAAGATTATATTTGAAAAGTATAAGTTTTATTTGAACCCCCCCCCCCCCCACGTCTCAATTTAGCATATGTCACATAATATATTGTCGGGTGGCTTGTTGTTGAATGCTCAAAAACAGCTATTCCGTACTCAATAATCTACATGATTTTTCATGTATTTTTTTTTTATTTCATGCACCTCTCTTTTTTTTAAAAAAAAAAGAATGTTAAGCACAATGAACTGTACACAGTATTTTTACGAGGTATATTTATAAGAAATGTTCCCCATTTTGTATTTATCTCATTTTTATATCGAAATATTTGTTTAAATATAAGTAATTTTAACACGCAGCTTTATATCTACGAAGGAACTGACAAGGAAGGGATTCCTATTAGTATATTCATGAAATCTTCCAACCCCTCTTTAGGGATTTTTGGATCTTTGAAGCAATAGATTGGTTTCGACAAAAGATTTTTACTATTTGCTAGTGTAATGCGCCCTTTTGTGCGTAAGTTGAGAACTTGAAAGACTGACCAAAGAATAAATATGGTTGCAGGAAATTTATTCCACATAGTTTCAGAAGAAAATACAAGTTTATGTTACCAACATAGAAAAAAAAATCAAGATGGCGGCGATGTGTACCTTGTGAATTAATAGGTATGGGTTTTTTTAATACGAAAAAGAGCAAGGGCCACTTAGGGCCTTTTTTGGCCCTGTAAATTTCTGAAAAATTAAAACTGCATAGTTTTAGTCGACAAGGCAAAACATATCACTTGAACACTTGATGACCGAATTTCTACCAAAAATGACGTAATTTTCTTGCTAGTCAATGCATTATGACGTCATGAATTGCGTCATTATTCACATATCCCGAATATTTCTTCAAAAATGGCCAAAATATGATGCTATTTTTTAATATTCCGTATTCAGCAGAACCTCTGATCCAAAATGTGCAAATATATTATGAAAGAACTGCTTATTAGGATTATAATACATATTTTAATTTTTGGATCGAGGGGTGTGCTAATATTTTAATTCTTTGTTGTAGGTTCTCAAAGTCATCCGTTTTCTGTAAAATTCAAGAACATTGCAATTTCACACAACCTGTTTTCCAGAACTTGGACTCTTTAGAGGAA